ACCTAAATTATGCTTGTTAACATTTGTTGGTGTCAGGTTCGGACTTCACTTTAATAGCGAAAGTTGATTCAACCAGCCTGACAAGAAAACCTGCCATGAAATGGCTAAAGGGCAAGTGGATGGACCTTGGCAGCAAGGCCGGAAAACACATGCAGTTCAAAGAGTCGTATGACAGAGATACTAAGGTGTGTGCATGATAGCGGACGGGAGGCTGACCATTTTTTAAAAGCATGTACGCATGAAAACTTTATTGAAGTATTCTGCCTACATATTGTATTTTATATGACCATTTGGGCTTAGGTCTTGGATCGGACACGGCTGTTGTTGTTTTTTTTTTTTCTTCGATGTTTGATCCTGAAATTTTGACCTATATCAAATTGATGTATCGCCTCAAGCCACCCCTAGTTTTGGCACCAGGCTTTTTTTTAGGAACGGAGGGACAGCGCAAACTAATGGAGGATAACCATTGGAATGAGGACATTATAGTGTCTCAGAATGTGTGTTATGGACACAGCCAAGACAGACACGGTCTTCTTCGTTATCTAAAAGACTCCCTATCACAGTCCGTCATTTGATCAATCCTAGAGTCCATAAAAGACCGTAGTAAGCCTTGCCTATCGACTCACAATATGAATTGCTTTGACGAGCCAGCTCAGACTAATCTTATCTCAGCAGGGTCATCTTGAGCTTCCCACCAAAGTTCCTCAGACTGCTCCCACTCACCAGGGAGCTTTTTTGTGAACTTTAGTCCGTGAACTGCCAGACCCCTCTTACATTCCGTACTAGAACTTTCTCACCGGTTAATTCCTCAAGGGGGGAGGAAACTAAACCCGCACTTACTGTATCCACATCCCTGGACCTTTGCACTTGGCCTCCGTAGTGTTGAATGTTGAGTTCTCATTTAGTCCACATCCATAACTGCACTGCATCCTCACCACCACTTCACTAATGGTGTTGATACATTGGGAGATGACAAAAATAACAGTGGCTAATATGAGAGAAGGTGACAGATTGATCCCAGATGAGTGTGTGAATGAACGTGTGTAACCAAGATTGTTGTTTGTGAACGTGATCTGATTCTCCTCTACAGATCTATACCTACGAGATGAAGATCGTTAAAGTGAAGCCTGCCGACGCCGGAGGCTACCGGTGTGAAGTGACAGCAAAAGACAAGTGCGACAGCTGCACTTTTGAAATCACCGTTGAGGGTAAGTCAAGTACACACACACACACACATACACTAATGCTTTAATTTTAACTAGTCATCATGTGGGTTCTCTTATTTCAGCTGCCCAGCAGGAGCAACAGGCGGATATTTTATCTGCTTTTAAGAGAGCGTAAGTATGTTAAAGCCACTCTTGACATTTGCCTACTGACACCTCTGCATATAAGCTGCATCATGTCCACTGCTTATAATGTCTTGGGCATGTAAGCCCGAAATACTGACATGCCTTTTTTATTTAGTTATTTATTATTATTATTATTATTATTGTTATTATTATTATTTTATTTTTATTTTTTTATTTATTTTTGTTGTTGACATGACTGTCCAATCGATTCAGTACAGTTCAGTCAAAGCACTTGTCCTTCAGAGCTCAGCATATCGGAAGATTTGTAACTTTTCAGGCCATTTCTGACAAAGCAACTCTTGAAACCCAAAAGACTAAGGTTCCAAAACATTGACGTATACTTCATAATCAAAAGGCATTATATATACATTACTTAATTATAGTAGTACTGCAGTAATTATTAGTAATACCATTACTAGCATACCAAGAACATTTTGTGATGTTTTTTTTTTTAATTACCTTATTACCCGGACTATAAGTTGCACTTTTTGTCATCCTTTGGCTGTGTTTACGACTTACACTCTGGTGCGACTTATATATATTAAAATATGCAATTTCACATGTTTGTTATATTTACACTGACAGCCTCCAGAGGGCACTCTAGGCTTGTATACCAGTATCTGCTACTCCTGTACCACAGAAAATGTAGTTGTTCACTATTTTTAACACTGACTGCGACTTATACTCCGGTGTGACTTTATTTTAAATTTTTTTGCTTCTGCTTTATTTATTACTTTTGTTTTTTTTTTTTGCTATAGTTTTGTTGAATAGTTTTGTTTTAGATTTTTTGTATGATGAATTCATCTTTATATATATATATTTATATATATATTGTCTCATGTTGTTATACACAGTGATGCTGGAGAGGATGAGGGTGAACTGGATTTCAGTGCTCTGCTCAAAGCTGCAAAGAAGTAAGAGTCACATGTTACTTTGTATGATTATACAGCACACGGTGCATCGGATTTCACTGTGTTTGCCTTTCTGTTTGGAAACACAACACACTTTTCTTAACAGAAAGAAGAAGCAAGAAGAACCCGAAATTGACGTGTGGGAGTTGCTTAAAAGTGCCCATCCGAGCGAGTATGAGAAAATTGCGTTTAAGTATGGCATCACTGACCTCAGAGGCATGTTGAAACGTCTGAAAAAGATGAATGTGGAGCCCAAACATTGTGAGGGTAAGTAAAGTGAGGCGAGGAGTGAAAGCTTTTACAACAGGTGATCTCAAGTTGCCGCACTTTTGTACCTCATTGCGCATGTCTGTGTGTGTGTGTGGTACTTGGCTGTATGAATGTCCTGAAATAAACGGATGGGAGGCTAGAATTACCTTTGGAATGGTTGGAAACATTCAGCCCTACTTTTTTTTCCCCCCCTGCAGCTTTCTTGAAGAGGCTGGAGTCATGCTACACTGTGGACAAGGGCAAGAAGATTGTCCTGAGGTGTGAAGTGGTTGATCCTGATATCCAGGTCAAATGGTTGAAGAATGGCCAGGAGATCAAACCCTCAGCAAAGTAAAGAAAATCAAAACAAAATACACATACCTATTTTGTGTTTTCATATTTTGGCAACATACTGTATTTGGTATTTGGCAACATATTTGAATGTATAAATATTTTATTTTAAGTTTAATTTTTTGATTTTTTTTTAAATTCTCTGTTAGAACTTATTGAGTTAATATATTTGTTTATAGACAAACTGAACTAAAATTTGAGTACTTTTCTTTATACAAGCACATAAAAATAATACACAGTGATTATTAAAAGGTAAATCATTAATGAAGTTAAGGCATAAAAGATGGAACAAAAGAACAAAGGGAGGGGGAAGTATTTGGCATTGTGGACATGTTTAAATGTTTGAAGGAAAGTTTAAAGTTTAACTCAAGGTCAAGGTTTTTTTTTTTATCCTGAAATATGTGGATTTGTTCTTCCACTTCGGCCTTCATTTTAAAAGGCTGTGATTTGTACCACAGTAGAAGCTTTTAGAGCACAAACACAGATGAGCGTGGACGTTTGGCACAATCACAAACACATTGACTGTTCTGTGGTTCACACGAAAAGTTTCAAAGACGTTTGCCGAAAAAAAAGAATATAAACTCTGGGTGGATGATTGATTGAAATTTGACTAATTACTGTTGTTGTTTTGCACTCATCTAGGTACGTCATGGAGGCAATTGGAAATATCAGAACTCTTACTATCAATAAAACAACCCTGGCTGATGATGCTGCATATGAGTGTGTGTTCGGCGAGGACAAGTGTTTCACGGAAGTGTTTGTCAAAGGTGCACCTTTTTATTCAATGTGACCCTTGGTTTCCATCCGTCAACTTTTTAAAGTTCCATCAACCTTTATGTTGACTCGTCTCTTGTGGCTTAATGCAGAGCCTCCTATTACAATCACTAAACTCATGGATGACTACCACGTGGTTGTGGGGGAGAGGGTAGAGTTTGAGATCGAGGTGTCTGAAGAAGGCGCCCACGTCATGTGGTCAGTATAACTTTTTGTCCAGTTTCCCTAAATGTTTGAAACACAAGGAACTCTTATGGCTTTCTAGATCTTGATGCTTGTCTTAGCTCGTTTTTTTGTTTCGGTTCCGTAGTGTAGCGGTTAGCATGCCTGCCTCAGAGAGCAGAGAGTCCTGGGTTTCGATTCCCAGAGGAACCGCGTGCTCGGGGCAGCCTGTTAACAGCATATCTGCTACTAACACAACAATTTCCCAAATATCGGATCTGTGTAGTCCAATTTTTTGTAACCAGCCTGAAATATTTACTACTTACTGTATGAAGTGAGGCCTTATTTCTGTAGATATATCATTTATACAATTTATTATTATTCTCTAGGTTCTTTGAGGATCAGGAGCTTCACAAAGACAAAGACTCCAAGTATCGCTTCAAGAAGGATGGAAAAAAGCACACACTTATTATAATGGAGGCTACACTCGATGACATCGGAATGTACCATGCCTGGACAAATGGGGGGCATACCAAGGGAGAGCTGGAGGTTGAAGGTACAACTCCAACATGCCATTGGCACATTATTTTTTCATACCATTTGTTATCTAATGGGGCGTTTGCACCAAACGCAACCATACGCAATCAGTGTATGTGATGCAAGAACACGCAACATACGTACTATCAGGCGATGCTTTTGAAGCTCCTAACGTGACACAAATGAAGTTGGAAAAATTGAGCTTTTCAGCGACATCCAATCAGGGACAAGTTTATCCCAACGAGAAGGGCCAAACTTAGCCAAGAGGTGGGGCTCTCTGGTAAGCTGTTTAACTGTATCCTGGTGACAATGAGAAAAAGTGAATGACCCCATGATTCGAAAAAAATATTTGAGCAGAAAGGTACAAGCGTTTCAAGCTAATTTTCCCGTGACCAACGCGTTTGGTGTGAACACAGCGTTACAACAACTGACAAATCACTACAAAGTAAATACAATTTTTTTTTTATGTGGGTAACATCTATCTTTGGTATTTCACCTGTTCCTAAAAAATGGAATAAAATAACTTTCTTGGGGCTTCTTTAGTTCTAACTAAATGATAGAAGTAGAATTTTTCTGCATGTTCTCATATAATGTATGGAGTATAATATTTCCAGAAATAAAAAATAAATAAAAAAAACTACTGGAACAAACAAACACATACTGACCCACCCGCATATCCACTGTTTCTCTTCAGAAAAGGAATTGGAGGTATTACAGGACATTGCAGATCTGACCGTGAGGGCCACAGACCAGGCTGTATTCAAGTGTGAAGTGTCGGATGAAAAGGTCACAGGAAAGTGGTTCAAAGACGGTGTTGAGGTGCAGGCAAGCAACCGCATTAAAATGAGCCACATCGGCAGGTACAAAAATGCCGAGAACCTTCATGAAACGATTGCATGAACTAACACTGATCTTTGTCACACATGTGATCATCAAAAAGCAACTGGAAACTATGCACCTAAATATTACTGCTATCTAGAGCAGTGAGTACAATCCAATGTGTAGATTGTGTAGAACAACTAAATAATTTTTCCACTACGATCCACCAGATGGCAATAGAAATATAAAGAACAGAGACTAAAAATCTTCTTGTGTCTCTTCAATTCCTGCGAGTGCATCAGCGTTGTGTTTAACTAAACACTCCCGGATTTCACATACATAAGTGATTTGAAACGAAGATCGTTATATGTCGTTTCATACATTTGTGACATGTTTGATAGTTCCTTAAAATGTGCTGTAGCTCGAAAAAGTTCAGAACTATTGATCTAAAATACTATTTCTAAAACATTCGTAATCTGCAATAAAGTGTATAGTAAAATATAGATACTGTAATGTTAACGAAGGAATAACAAAATTTAAATTAAAAAAAAAATGAATTAAGTAGTTTTAAGTGATATAACTCCTTATAATTTTCTCTTGGAAAAACAGTAATGAGACAAAATAGTAATTTCCAGAAATATGCTGTGCACAAAGAAACTAGATACATTGATGACACGCGTTCAACATACGTTTTCCTCATCAGATACACTCTATGTGTTTCAGATTTCACAAGCTCACTATTAATGACGTTAAGCCAGAAGATGCGGGAGACTACACATTTGTCCCTGATGGATACGCTCTGTCTCTTTCAGCAAAACTCAACTTCTTGGGTAAGAAAAGAGCATTCTGTGCCGTTGATGCGTTATTGTTGTCGGCAAAAGATACACAACAACATTTTCACCCTAATGTTTTCCCTTCTCTAAACAGAAATTAAGATCGACTACGTGCCTAGACAAGGTAAGAAACGCACTTGAATGCAGTTTTAATTGAACTGCCATGAAAACTGCCATAATTAAGAACGCACACGTGACTCCATTGACTCTATCTACATATATATGTTACACTTTGACCAGAGCCTCCGAAGATTCACCTGGATACCACTGGAAACATGGTCTCTCAAAACACTATAATAGTGGTGGCGGGTAACAAGCTGCGTTTGGATGTTGAGATCTCCGGTGAACCACGTCCCACTGTTGTCTGGTCAAAAGGAGATGTGGTTAGTATTGAACGGCTATATTGGATCAATAACAGACTGTGTCAATTCTACCACTAAATATATAAATAACATCTGTCAATAATATCAAAATAAAAATAAAAATCCATCCTTTATTCACTAACTGCAAACACCTCTGCTGTATATCAGGGGGTAAACTTATCTCTCACTTCGTCCTCCTTAGGGGCAGTTTTTTTTTTTTAAAAAAAGAACCCTTTTCTTTCTAGCCAATTAAAGAATCCGAGGGTCGTGTAAGAGTTGAGACCAAGAAGGACCTGAGCTGCTTCATCATTGAGGGGGCGGAGAGAGATGATGAGGGCAACTACACCATCATTGTCAACAACCCTGCTGGAGAGGACAAGGCTGTGCTGTTTATTAAGATTGTGGGCAAGTAATTGGACGTTGCACAATTGACCCTTTTGTAATTACAAAAGTGCTGACGGCATAGCGTAATTGGACTTGGATATTTTGTGACAGATGTCCCTGATCCTCCTGAGAACGTCAAGTGCACAACAGTGGGCGAAGACTGTGCCACGATGGTGTGGGATGCTCCCCCGTTTGATGGTGGTGCACCAATCAAAGGTAAGCCTGTGATTTGTTTCTTTTTATTGCTTATTTACTGACATTAAAACACTGCTCTATGGATTCAAACATCAAAAATCTTGATCTCAAAAGATCGTATTCAGCCCTCTGTGTTCAGCTCCTTTACAGATTTTGGGACCCAAGTAGATAGATAGCTAGGCTGTTGGTGTAAACTAAGATAAGTGACACGTTAAAGCTAAACACAAAAACGCTATTAGCCTTACACACAAAACAGTGAAGTAGCGTAAAACACCTCACGCCTTAGGGAAACACAGATATTGCAGGGTAAAGGCAAAACGACTGAAGTCTAATCACGACATAATTTAACCCTTTCATGCATGACAGCCTCTACAGTGGACGCCTGAGAATCCACTGTAGAGGCTTATATGCAACACTGCCATCAAAACCTATTCTTATCATAGAAAATTACATTTTAATAGCTGTCCACTGTAGTGACCGTCATGCATGAAAGGGTTAATAATATTATTTGGACAAAGCATCTCATTCAGAGAAGGTTACTAAAGAATTTCCAAGGTCCTCAAAATTCCAGAAAGCACAATATAGACCAGGCGTTGATCTATGGGCCACAGTGGGTCCTAAAATTTGACAGGGGGGCCGGGTCAGGAGCGTTCATTCGGACTAAGACAAATGACATGTAAAAGTCATGCATGAATGCTAAAATGCTTTTAGCATTTTCTACGCCATCAATTGGGGAAATACCGGCACTGCAGGGAAAATGCGAGAGTATAATTTAGAAATCAATAACCTAATTTAGACCAGTATGGTCAGGCCGGATTAAAAAACCAAACGGACCTCATCCGGCCCCCAAGCCTTAGTTTGCCCATGCCTAATATTGACTGTCCTCATGAAGTAAATGATTGCTAACTGGGAAGTTGAACTATATTTAATGCTTTTACGTCACTAGGTTATCTCATGGAGAGAAAGAAGAAAGGCTCATCCAGATGGACGAAGCTCAACTTTGACGTGTATGAATCAACGACATATGAGGCGAAAAGGATGATTGAAGGCATTTTCTACGAGATGAGAGTCTTTGCTGTCAACAGCATCGGCCTGTCTCAGCCGAGTCTCACCTCCAAGCCCTTCATGCCCATGGTAAGTTCCACTCCTTTTTTTTTTTCCCTTTCTACGATATTACTCCCCGAAGCCATCGTTTTTTACAGCTTCTCCATCTTTCCCACGCAGCCCCAACCAGCGAGCCAACACGCCTGACGGTGCATGATGTGACAGACACCACCTGCAGCTTGAAATGGCTCGCCCCAGAGAAGGTCGGAGCTGGAGGCCTGGACGGCTACGTGATTGAATATTGCAAGGACGGAGGTGATGAGAGAACAATGGATGTTACAACATACATATAGCAAAAGAATTTCGGTGTGGGTCTAGCATTAAGGGATGATATGGTATATAGCAAAGAGCTAAAAGCATTGCCATCATAGTGCATTGGAATTTAAAGGTCTTGTCTTAAAGCCTTACCATTTGAAAACCCACCCTGGATGTCAGTTTATCTTGGGACAGTGGCCAATAAACTAGGTTCAAACAATATTGTCCTGTTACTCTAACACTCATTTAGTTTATTTCCCGTATTTGTTAAATAAAAAAAAAATAAAAAGAATTAGATAACTCAGCAACAACTAGGAATCGCACCAACTTTTTAAATTGACACTGAACTTATAGCAATAGTTTTTTTTCCCCATTAAATTACATTACAATACATTTAGCGATTTACAATTTGAGTCAGTCAATCAACAATCAAGCTACTGTAGACCTACAAAATACAAATACACATAAAAAAGTAATAGATAATAAATATTAAAAAGACAGTTATAGCAGTTAATGGTCATAGTAGGTCAAAGAGTAATTCTTGTTTTTTTTTTAACAAGACATTGTAATGACATTCCTGAGAAGAAATCTGATTTAGTGCCACAAGATTGTCAGGAAAAAGTGAATCTTGTTATAACTGATGTTGTAACGTGTTGTAATGTATGAGTACAATTTTTGTCTACTTCTAAGAAAACCCTGGTTACTTCTACCTTTGGGAAAAGGTGTCAGTTTATTATAATATTTATATTTTACATAAAATGTTTGTTGACGCACTACTGTTCTGATGATTTTGTCTCTTAGACACTGAATGGGTGCTGGCAAACCAGGAATTATGTGAGAGGCAGTGGTACGTTGTCCGTGGCCTCCCTGTTGGAGAAAAGATCAACTTTAGGGTGGTGGCGGTGAACGTAGCTGGACGCAGCCCTCCTGCTACATTGCAGCAGCCTGTCACCATTCGTGAGATCGTGGGTAAGTTGTGAAAATGAGAAAGGCAATATGTACACAAACGTAACATACCGAAATCCTGTAAATACAGTGGATCTTTATATAGAGAGATATATAATGTTTCTATCCCTAATAACATAGAGATGGTGCAGAGGCAGAGCAGTATTCATGATTTGATATAACTGTATAGTTATTGATACGATCATTTGATGAATAAATAAACACCTTGCTCATCCCAAGTAACAGGGAATAACTTCAGTTGCTGGAATGAGTTGTTACGTTTTCCGCTACAGAACACCCAAAGATCCGTCTTCCTCGGGAACTAAGAACCAAGTACGTCAGACACGTTGGTGACAAGATCAACCTGACCATTCCCTTCCAGGTAGGCCCTACACAAGTTTATCCTTTCTAACATTCAAATTTAAAAATGAAATATGTATTACCCACACAGACAGCGAAAAGAAAAAAAAATAGCCAAGATTGAGGCTTTGTACTGTAAGGATTTGTAGTAGTAAACTACCTTTGTTCCCCAACAGGGTAAACCTCGCCCTGTTGCAACTTGGTTGAAGGATGGTCAACCCGTTGATCCCAAGGTGATCAACGTCCGTAACTCTAACGTGGACAGCATCCTGTTCATCCGCTCAGCGGAGAGGGAGCACTCAGGAAAATACGAGCTGCTCTTACAGATTGAGAACTTGGAGGACAGGGCCACCATTGACATCAGGGTTATTGGTAATTATTGTCAGGTTGCGATGTGAAATAGTTGTATCAAATAATGTCCTAAACCAAGATTCTAACCCCAGACTGGATTTTCATGTTTGATTTGAACAGAGAAACCGATGCCTCCTGTGAACGTGAGGGTGACTGAGGTCTGGGGCTTCAATGCAGCACTGGAGTGGAACCCTCCCACAGATGATGGCAACAGCGAGATCACTGGATACACCATCCAGAAGGCAGACATGAAAACCAAGGTGGGAAAGAAGTAGAGTTTGGCGTGTGGTATTTGGATTATTCCTAATGTTTACTGTGTACGTGCTTTTTTGTAGTTTTCCTTATTTGGTCATGAAAGCTGAAAGCTAACCCTCTAGCAAAGATATCACTTGAATTATATGTAACAAAATATAATGATAATCTTATACTTCCAATAGCTCGCTATAAACTTACTTAAGTAAGTTAAGTAAGTAAAGTTGTCCACCATAAAAGGCACTCAATGTATTCCACAATGCACCAGGAAATCTGGTGTATAGCGGGCAACTACAGAAATTTACTGTGCGCCGCAATAGCATCTGAAACTGTCCACAAAATAATTAAGGAGTACGGAGCAGGCAATTAACTGCAACATATTGTTTTTAAAATTAATCGGCTGCCACTAAGTGTAAAAGTAATTGTTCTGCCTGTCACAATGGCGTAGACCAGGGGTGTCAAACTTAACCTTTTCATGCATGACGGTCACTACAGTGGACAGCTATGAAAATGTCATTTTCTATGATAAGAATAGGTTTTGATGGCAGTGTTGCATATAAGCCTCTACAGTGGATTCTCAGGCGTCCACTGTAGAGAGAGACGAAAGGGTTAATTTGATTCATGGGCCGCATACAGCCTAATTAGATGATAAGTGGGCCGTAGGAGTCTAATCATAACATAACATAACATTAGCTACATTTTCATATTTAGTGAAATGAAGTTTTACAAAACATCTCCTGAACATGAAGTGTTAGTGCATTATTTTATTTTCTAAATTCATCAAGCGAGCTGGTTTTGGCCCTTGGGCCGTATGTTCGACACTTCTGGACATATAATGTTTTTCAGACCAATTGAAAAGTGCAATTGGATCATTTTCTGCAGTACATGGGAATCACCCAGCAGCCAGCTATATGCACCAGTATTGAATTTAACCACATTACATGAATGATCTCTCTGTTTTTGTTTTTTTTTTGTTTTTTTCAAGTTACAAGTTTTTTGTTGTTTTTTAATTTAATCTCTTCTACTTCTTCTAAAGGAATGGTTCACATCTTTTCTACTTCTTCTAAAGGAATGGTTCACCGTTTATGAGCATAACAAGAGGACACACTGCACAGCGTCAGATTTGATCATGGGCAATGAGTACATGTTCCGTGTCTACAGTGAGAATCTCTGTGGCCAGAGCGAGGAGCCACGTCAAAGCAAGAACACGGCTAAAATTGCCAAGACCGGTATTTACTGCAGAGCGTTTTTAACATGTAGTCTGTGTGGTCTATATTTGTTATGGCAAAAATTTATAGTTTAAAATGACATCTTTCGCCTCTTTGGAAAGGTCTGATACAGAAGCAGACCAACTTCAAGGAGAAAGACATGTGCTGCTCACCAATGTTTACTCAGCCGCTCATCGACAGATCTGTAATAGCTGGCTACAGCACTGCAATCAGCTGCTCTGTCAAAGGACTTCCAAAGGTAATTTTGATTGGTCTACTGTTTCACAGTAATACTTACTCTACAGACGTTGTAAATAATAAATATATGTGTACGTACATAAACCAAACATGCTTTATACATACATTATATGTTGGGGGATATTAAATGCATGTACTGTAGCTGTATGGCACAATGTAATTGAATTCTTACAGTATACTGTCACTGCTACACAATATAAAAGTATATTTTTAAAATATGTTATATATTTATATATTTTATATATATATTGCTGTTGCTGTATACAACTTTTATATATATATTATATATTTTTTTTAAATATATATGTTTTAATTTTAATTGCTTATGATCTCCTAGCACCCCTTTGTAATTCACTGGTAGAACCCGATCTACTTACTGGTTTACCAACATACAGCTGCTTTTTCTCTTTGCAGATCATTTCTAACATGTTTATCTCTTCGGCAACAATTTTGAATTGAACTATTTGAAAATATATTTTACATTAACTACCGTAATTTCCGGTCTACAAGTCGCTACCTTTTTGAGACGCTTTGCACCCTGCGTCTTAAACAGTGATGCGGCTAATTTGTGGATTTTTACGGGCTAACGAAACTCATACCGCTAGCTAACAATGACTTTTCTGGTAGGCTACTGTGTGTTATACTAGTAGCGTATGTCTGTGAATGGCTGTGTGCGTATATATGGGTGGCGCGCGAGAGAGAAAATGGTAGCTAAAGTTGAGAGCAGTTTGAGTCCTGTCGTGTTGAAGCGTCAGTTGGTTTTAGAGGAGCTGTTAAAACACTGTTTATGTTCTGTTGTGGTCGGAGTGTCTGATAATAAAGACCCCAACTTCCCTGTTTCTGTTTACCTCGTATGTTACAACGTGGACACCTGCGACTTATAGAGTTCTGGCTTTATATGTACAATTCTTTTTTTCTTTTTCAATTTAGTGGTTGCGGCTTATATTCTGGTGCACTCAATAGTCCCGAAATTACGGTAGTAGTCTCTTAGAAAATACGTTTTTATGTAAGCAGTTGGACATTAATTGAACTGCTGTGGCCTCTGTTAAGGAAATCCCTTGGAACAAACAAAGACAAACATTTAAATAACAATATTAACACTTTTTTTTTTTTTTGGGATCCAATTTAAAAATACATACCCTTGGGAATCTCCATAGTCTAATACAAAATTCTAAGTCTAAAATGTTTCTTCTGTTTCATTATCTGCACCACAGCCAAAGATTGTATGGATGAAGAACAGAATGATCATCGGAGAAGATCCCAAGTATTTGATGCAGAACAACCAAGGAGTCTTGACTCTTAAGATTCGTAAGCCAAGCACTTTCGATGGAGGAAAGTACTCCTGCATGGCTGTGAACGAGCTGGGCCAGGCTGAAGTGGAGTGCAAGCTGGACGTCCGAGGTAAGAAGGAGATCATGTTTATGAAACATAGTGCCTCTTAATTACAGTATAATTTGTAATATATATTGATAGTTGATTTTAATGGAATTCTTTTTTTGGATTTTTTTTTTTTTTACTTGAGGCCTGTAAATTCTCAGAGGAACTATATACCTGCTACAGCTACATGCTGTCACTGTTATACAATATAGAATTTCTTTATATATATATTTTATATATATGTTATTTATATAAAATATATATTATATATATATAAACATTTGTTACAGTTTAATCTGAAATTAATGATTAACCATATTTTAATTTTGGAAATATTAAATATATATTTACTCCTATAAACCAAATATATGTGTCCCCCAATCAGGAAAAAATGCAATGATACAAACTTAAATTTGGCGTAGTAGCTTAGTTAACTACCTCAAATCCTGAAATCATTGCCTTAGTCAAAATGTGAGACTTTTTCTTGTCCATATTTTTTTCCAAAACATACATACATACATG